CAAGGTTATGATGGGCTTGTGAAGATTGAATACTTAATAAGGATTGGAAGATTGAATTCATTTAAAAAAAAAAGAATAAAATTAGTTAAGCTAAATTTTCGTGTATATTAAAAGCTGTTAAGTCTGTTGTCTGAAGGTTCAGCCCCTTGCTTGTGCTGAATAATCTCTCGTGCTATTGTTGTGTTGTATTGTTGTGGTATTGGGAACCTAATTTGGGAATCTAATTTGTTTTAATGATTTCAAGAAGTAATTCTGGTGTCCTTTGGGTGTGTTAGTAAAAAGATCAGCAAAATATCTTTCTGATATATTATCATAATGACAATTAAATATTTAACTTATTGTTACCAAATTTGCAGTACCAATGACTCTGTTCTGGAAGAAATGAAGAAAGAGTACATGATACAGGAGGAGGCCAAGAGCTCTGCTAGAGTCTGAGCTTATATAATGAGATGTTTAATTTGAACTGAGGAGCCAGGGAAGAGCTAAAGTGCAGTGTGTCTTGATATCGTGTGTTGGAATATCAATGGTATGGCAGCTACTTACATCCTTTTCAAAGTCCCTTGCATAGTTATACATCAAAACTGAGCAAGAATGTGGGCAATTGCAAACCCTGCGTAGGATTTTAGTGTAATGATGCACTATTGGTTTTTAGGAATTTTGACAATTATGCACTGTAATTCAAATCCATTGGCGTTGAATTGAGCTTGGAGTTTGGAATAGATTGATAATTGGCCTAAATTTCTTTCTGTTTAGTTTTCCTCATCTTATTTGCGAGCATCTTTCAAATTCTTTGTAGCACCTGCGCACTGGATAAAGCTTATGTTACCTAGGCTTGAACGCCCCTAACCCTTCGTGTTTCTGTTTTTGTTATCACAAAGACTTGTATACAACAGATGCAATTGTATTTAACAAGTAGAGTCAACTTTGTCAAGGATGAAAAATACACCCGTTACATACAAGACATATTGTATGTTTTTGGTATGTGATGGCATTTGTACGTGTAAAACTTCCATTGACACGGTCTCTAGATCTTATCTTGTGGTGATGAATTTATGTTATGAAGGCTTTTCTTATGATGAATGCAACCCAGACGCATAACTATGGATACGGGTTGGCTATCTGTGATCCAGCACTACAGTTATAAACAGCATTTTAAAGACTTCATGTTTTATTGTTTTGAATCTACTGCTGCCAGTTTCACACTAGGGCACTACACAGATTCAAGTTCATTTAATTTCTCTTACCCTTGTGTTTACCAAACTGATACATCTCTGAGAATGGTGATGTATTGGTCAAATTATGTTTTTGAAATTGACGAGTTGTTTTCTTTTGTATTTCCAAATTCCAATGTTGTGTTTAAAAGTTAAGAATGATGTTACGAAGCTGCACAAAGAAACTTTAGCTTCATAGCTCCCTGTTGACTGTCAAGTATATAAGCATAAACCTCTCTTATAGTCCATTTCATAATCGCCTATGGAGGTTAGAACACAAATAAGACCTGGAGTTGGGTGACCTTAACTTCTAGCGAAAGCTGAAGGGCGATTGAAAGTAGGACACCTTATGGAGTTATGGACATATGTATGGGTATTCAGCGTGTTCTCGTCTATGCTGCAATGAGTAAGGTTTCATAATGTGTAATTTAAGTTGCAGTCTATATCTACAAAAAGAGTTGTATGGTTGGGACACGACACAAACAGATCTTAGAAAATCATCACTAGGTAATTTTTTGTGATCATCTATAAGCGCTTATCATCCTAATTAGTATAAAGTATGATTGTATGAATAATAAGTCCATGGCTACAAAACACGTTCCTTTTCCTCAATTTAACCTCATACTCTTTAACTGGCAAAATTCTACTCAATCTAAAAACATGATCAGATTCCACCCGAAAATTTAGGGTCTTGAATACAATTTTGTACATCCTGAAAAGCAACTGAATTGTGATTTGATTTACCGACTTGACCAAATGATTTGACAAGCGAGTGAAGAATGTCCAATAAAAAAGTCGACGTGACCCTGGCATTAACTCAACAATGGTTGGACTGGAGGCACTAGTTGTTCCCACAAAAACCAAAAACCTAAAGAAAAGGGCCACTGAGTTACTGAAAAGACTCGTGTTTAATCTGCTAGCATATGGATAACAGGAACATTATACAAAAGCAATCTAACTGAAGAATTAATATGCTTACATGCTGACAATCAGTCATATAGCAAAGATACTCAGCAGAAACTTCTTCAGAAAATATGCTACAGAGTCAAGATATAGGTAGAGTAAAAAGCTACTGTAAGAGATAATATGTCTTTGTCTTGCTCTCAAATACATAGTCAAAAGGAGAACAATATGCGGGAGCATAAAGCTACAGAGATTTGCATATCCGCGGTGGCAATGAAAGATTTGTTTTTGGTGAGGAAGAAAAGGATAGAAAGAATCCAATCATATATCAGACGATATGGGTATGCCAGAGCAGAAGGTATCGCTGTTAGCTCAACCTCAACAGGTCAAATCACAATCTTATAATCCTCATGGGCGGAAATCCATTTTCTGTACTTGGAAATTCATAGTTCTGCATATCATCCTTGGAGGAATAAAATCTATTTGGGACCCCTGAATATTGTACATGCTTAAAGTAGTAAATTAAAAGACTATAAGCTGGACTTGCCTTGTCACAGTCCATGAATGTTGCTTTAGCGTTTGCAAAGCAAATTTTCATGTTGACTCTAACAACTCTGTTCAGAATCCATGCATTTGATCAGAATATAACGTGCAGTCGTGCAAGCTTCCAGTCAGCTTAGCCAGTTCTTGAGGTCAGGATATCATAGATTCTATTAAAAAATAAACTTTTTCAAGCATTCTTAGAGAAATCTATGTAATATTAATTTAAGCCATCTTCTAAGTACTTCGTACCTGCATCACGAGCAAGGGAGAAAAAGTCTAGTTAAAAGAATTTTGAGTAAAGAATATATCTTCCAGATTTCAGACTGACTCTGCTAAAATTAAAAAGAAGAATATCAAAAGAATATATGGCCTTTTCAACCAAGAGATTACTCTGAATTAAGCAGGATTTCCCCCTTTGCCAGAATATTCATAATCATAATTCAAAATAGATGCATGGAATTATTGTGGCTAAATTTATAAACAAATAAACATCAAGCTCAATCAGTATGAAAATATCAGAGCCCTAGAAAAAATTGTCATGCATTGAATCATGAACCCTCTATGTGCTTAGGCAAAGTATTATCCTTGGACCTCGAATCTTATTTTCAAAGAACTAACACATATTATTCTTAGGCAAAGTCAGATTTGATTGTATTTCAATAATACAAGTGCTTCAGCACAGGCACAAGGATGACAGGTTTTCGTCCTCAGTCTCGTATTTGACCTGCAGCCTAAACCTAACAGTAGGAAAACAAAGTCTTTCTGGAAATGTGAAAAATGATTTGCACGAAAGATCAACCATCATGGAATAACTCCTAATTTATTTCCAGGTCAGAAAGTCAAAAGCTAAGCCAGAAGGTGATAATGCAAACCAATGGCTTAGAAAAGGTCCCAATAAGATGCTAGCAAACACCTCAAATCCAGAATGAAGGACAAATATAATTCCCTTAAATTCAAATAGCATATCACAAGAATTTACTCAAAGCATCTTAAGAATAAGAACTTTAAGCCTTGTATGTTTGAATGCATGCACTATTAAGTTGGCCATAAGCCGAATGGGCAATTGCCCCTAGAACCATATAGCTCCAAAAACTCATCAGATTCTGGTCAATCAGAACAAAGATAACACATCCGACTTTATAAACCATGTTTATCACACTTTCAAATGGCTATTGATGTAGAAAGATTAATTTTGGTTTCATTCTTGAAACCATTATCTTCCATGTTAGAATTTGATACAGTTGAGATTTAGGAATCATTCTCAAACAGTTATCTAACCCTCCCTCCCACTCCTACTCCCCAAATATAAAAGCAAAGAACATAAAAATCATCTTAAATAGGTTTTGTGATCAACAATATAAGTATATTCATGTTGTTAATACTTTTTTAGGCCAGTAAAGCTTTACGGTATTATAGTGAATTAATTCAAAACATCTAATAAATATGTTCTTTGAAACAGCTTGTTTGCAATTGATTAGACATCACCAAAACAGCCTTTTCCAATAATTAGCAAGGTTACACACATCTGATCCCATCAGTTCACACAAGGCGAGCCTCATCTGAGGCACTGTCGTAGACTCGTAGTTATTGTACAGTATGATAGGCTAGAATGATTGAGATTCATATTGTCAAAATCTTACTGTACATAGGCATTTGCTAATCGATAAACATCCAATATATATACGGTGCCAAAAGACAGAAACATTATCTCTCCAGTTACAGCTTCCCACAGAAGCCTAAAGGATGATCAACAGATTCCATTTAGGGGCATTTGATAGACAAGTCCTAACAAGATGTGTTAGAGGTGGAATTACATTCTCTGTTTCATCAACTTGTAACAGTCTCTTCCAATGAATTACTGATGTTTGGACCCACTGCATGAAATTATTTTCATTACTTATGGTGCATATGCACCAGTTACGCCAAATAACAAATCACCGGCTAAATCTCGTCTCTGTTGACAAGATTTTGGTGATTCCTTTCTAGCCATCCAAACAAACATATCAGTTAAATTCAAGTTTATCAGCAGCTAAGTATTGTTGGCTGTCAGTGCCGTGCTTGTACCATCAGATACTGTTATCATTATTCCATCATGTTGCCAAGGTTGATTAGATACTATGGAAACATCCAACCAAAGGTTTAACTACATACAAATAGTATCAACAAAAAGCTAGATGCTGGACACCCTAGACGAAATTTCAATCCACCTCACAAAAACGGTGAGCTCCCAATTTCCCACTTGTCAAATAAAGAGAGCATCAAGTTTTTTTTCTAGTTTGAAGTATTCACATTGGTCATCTTTTTTGACCTCTTCCCCTATATAAGGACTCAATGAAATACTGACCTGCATAATAACACATATTCTCTTATTTGTAAAGTCAAAAAGAGAATGGCTGCCCTCTCTCTAGATCCGAGACTGAGTCTCAATGCAAGAAAACACCACCATCACGGTGCTTTAGTGGAAGAAATAGAAGGGCTCATCAGGGTATATAAAGATGGGCATGTTGAAAGGCTACCTATCATCCCAAATGTCCCTTGCAGCATTCCTTCTGAGCTAAGGGTGACTTCAAGGGATATTGTCTTGGACAGATCAACTAATCTGTGGGCACGTGTCTATGTTCCGCAAGGACAAAGGAACCTGCCTCTACTTGTCTACTTCCACGGAGGAGGTTTCTGTGTAGGTTCAGCAGCGTGGAACTGTTACCATGACTTCATATCCAACCTAGCATCTAAAGCAGGTTGTGTAGTCATGTCGGTAAACTACCGTCTAGCCCCTGAAAACCGTCTTCCTGCTGCCTATGAGGATGGTTACAACACCGTCATGTGGGTGAAGGAGCAAGCTACCAATGGCTCAAGAGAGCATTCTTGGTGGCTAAGCTGCTGCAATTTCTTAGGTTTCTTCCTAGCAGGTGACAGCGCAGGAGCTAACATAGCTCATAATGTCGTTCTAAGATTTGGGACAGCAGATCAGCAAGGTCAACCCTTCTAAGGCCACTCTCTCACCGAGGCACTATCCTAATCCAACCTTTCTTTGGAGGTGAGGCACGGACTGCATCTGAAAAGGCCCCTCAACCATATGGATCAGCACTTACTTTATCAGCAGCTGATACCTATTGGCGGTTATCCCTCCCTATGGGCTCTACCCGGGAGCATCCATGGTGCAACCCTCTAGCCAAAGGTGCAGCTAAATTGAATAGTATAGAACTTCCAGCTACAATGGTGTTTGTGTCAGACATGGATATCTTGATGGATAGGAACAAGGAGTTCTGCTCTACCATGGCTAATGCAGTAAGAAGGTAAAAATGATGGTCTACAAGGGTGTGGGTCACGCATTTCAGATCCTACATAGCTCGTCACTCTCCAAAGCTCGCACACAAGAAATGATTGGCCACTTAAAAGCTTTCATTCACAGCTGAACAGAATAATCCCTGAGAATCTGTGATCATTACTTTTTCTAAGTTCATTCCTGCTTCAATTTAGGTCTTATAGTAGTATTGTTATTTACCTATTACATGAAAATGCAAACTTTGTACAGAATATGTATTGTGGAGTGATATGATTACTGAAATCTAGCATAATTTGCTGGATATTCCCATTGTTCATTATATTTACTTCATTCATTTAGATCCTAATATCAAAGTTTGAATCTTGGTGACATCAACTTAAGAATTCTTAACACAAATAATTGGAGAATCATATTAAATCCATTATTTTCCGCAATAGTTACTTATGTTACAACGCCTACCCTAACAAGAGGGAAATATATAACAGGTGAAAAGCAAAAACAAGGATCACACAAACCCCTATTACTATCCCATCTCACCCTCCGAAATTAATTAATCTTACACTCATGAACAATAAAAACAGCTAATTGAAACCTCTAATAGCAGCTCACAAAACAAAGTGCTAGTTGCTAATACAAAACATAAGCAAATTCATCCAATTAACAAAAATCCTGGCAATTAAAAAATGTAAACACACATGCAAACAATAATAATAAATCACAAAATTAACACAAAATAACAATAAAATTTCTAGTTAGATTACACACCTTTTGCTTGGTGATGAATTGGCAACTGCAGGACACTGTGAAGATATCAGCAGGGAAAAAAAGATATTCGTACTAAGTATGAATAAATGGGACTTGTGTATGTTTTGTGTAGGAAGTTTAGCTCCCTACCCTGAGGAACGTTATGTTATTATCCCACTATAAAGAAGACTATATTAATGATAGAGTATATAAATCGAAGATAAGTTTCAACCATTTAAATTTTTAATTGAGTTAGTCCTTTATCATGATATTAGAGATAACATGACATAAAATAGAGTATATAAATCGATCTTAGGTTTCAAGGTCTTCAACCATCCGCTTAAACTTTTGGTTGAAGGCAAAAATGATGAATTATTCCAATTTTTTTTGGTTATACTTTGTACTTCAAAATTTTTTGTTAGTATCTTCACATCTTCTAATGATTATGTTATTTGTCACTCTGTACTCGTACTAAAGACTTCATACTTCGTATTTGTTACTTTAAACTCATACTTAAATACTTCATATTTCGTATAAAGTACTCATACGGAATAATGATTGTTCGTAGTCAAAGTTTTCAAAGTTCAACACTACAAATTGCAATGAAACAATCTTTTAAATAAAAAGGAAGTAACTTCGACATTTTAAGTTTTTAACCAGCTAATCTCGATTATATCCCCGTAACGCCACTCGAGAATCTAACATCCGTATAATAATGTTATATCCTTCTAATTGCGGATTTACGAAATAGTAGGAGATTAGGGTGTTTGACAATTGACATTTTGTCTAGTTTTTGACTTTTTAGTTTGGTCAAACAACCAACAAATATGGTTGGTGGTTGGCTTTTTTTATTGGCTTTTAAGCTGACTTTTCTGCCAAAAGCCAAAAGCTAATAGGAGTAGCTTTTGCAATTGGCTTTTAGCTTGTTGGCCCACTTAATCTCTAATAAAGTTCTAACAACCACTAATAATTTTATTAAACACTTTTTAAACAGTTTTAAACAACTAACTTAAAAAGTCAATCCATACAACTAATACTTCTAGCGAGACAAACAAGCCTAACACTCAACCGCCGATTGCCAAACAATCACATTACCGGAGTTGTGGTTCGTTCGTCTAGCATTTCAAACTGAGAGTGAATATAACAATTCCATATTAGCTACTTCCTCAGCTTATGATTGCTCCTCTGCAATGGGAGCTCTTGTAAACTGAACATTACTCTCTTCTACATTGCAAATTCTTCGTCTTCATCTTTTCTCAGAATCTCAATCAAATCAAAACCTT